TGGTGCATTGCATGAGATGGGAGCTGAGCAAGGGGCCAGGCTGCAGCCAATCAGAAAGACCAGGAAGAGGAGAGCAGTGGGTGCAAGGGACTGGCAGGCCTGGATGGCGTATCATGCAAGCTGCTGTGCTGAACTGGTCAGGAGGGTGCAGCAATGGCCAGGCTTGCAGAGATGTGCCATGCACTTGCTGGAGCAGAGAGGCCACCAGCGAGGCTGCTGACAGGGCGAAGCAGGCTGTGGAGATGCTGCTGGAGAGGGAAAGGTATCCGTCTCATAACATTTCTTACCCAGCAGTGTTGACCATCCTAAAGAGGTGCTTGTTTTAGTTCCCATGCCCATACCTTCTCCCCTCCCCAGGCCCAGGCTGACTTACCCCAGGATCAATCTCATGCCATGCTGGGCTCAGTCTTCCAACCCTAGGCCCAAATAGGCTGCCCTCCAGCAACATGTCTTCATGTCCCAGAGCGTTCTCTCCACCCCTGGATCTATATAGGGCTTCCAGTCCCAGGCCCCTCCGTTTCATACCCAGATTTTCCCTGGGCCATCTCAACCGTACCACAAGTGGACCCCAGCTTTCTGCTCTGTGCACTGGAGCACAGTCCTTGTGGAAAGACTTGAAGATGCTGGGGCAGAAACAACCCCCCACAGCCTCCCAGGGGCCAGGCCAGCATTCATCCAGGGGAAGCAGCACAGTGTGGGCCTGCAGCCCTTTAAAGCCTTGGGCACAATACAGCAGGATCCTGCCCCAGCTCAGCCCCTAAGACCCTTCCCCATTCACTTGGATGCAGCAATCCTGCCTGTAATGGGTAAGGGCATATGCAGACCATGCTCATGCTCCTTTCCCCTTCTCCAGATTCACAGGCCACCCCTCCTCCAGCCCCTGCAGCAAATGTCTGTCTTCCTTTCAAGGACGTGGCAATGAATATCCAAATGTTTGGATTGTTTAGGAAAGAAATGTTTTTTTCCCCCCAAATACTTTGTCTGTGCGCTGGTTTAAACCTCTCCCAGAGGTGCAATGCTACCCGCCCTAGCCCCATCAACACGGGAAACAGCTTGCAACGGCCTCCGTCATGACATTGCCAGGATGGTGGCGGTGCTCGAAAGGCTTAGGCCTGGGGGCCAGGCTAGTGTCTTGGCCTTGATCTCCCCTGAAGGAGATGGGAGGAGGAGCGATGCTGGGGTCATGAGGGCAGCTCCCTCCAGCTCTACGAGCTGTCCCCAGAGAGAAATACGGTGACCAGGGCCTGGCCCGTCACAGGCTCTGCTCCGCAGTGCAGAGCGCAGGGGTTGTTTTGCTCCCCGGCTGTCTGGGTGGCCTGAGACCACCGTGCTGGGCTTTGGACTGTGGCCTGGCAGTGCAGTAGACTTGGGTCAGGTTTCTCACTCACTCATGGCAGCAGTTGCTGGCGCTGCAGAAGCAATGTTTAGGGTTAGGGTCAGAGAATGGGAAAAGTTGAGAGCTGTGTTTGTGCTTGGGATGGGTCGGCCTCCTGGAGTAACATGTAGGACACAGGCAGGTAGGTTTGTGTTGGCTAATATAAGAGGGAGGGTCCCTGGGGCCCCCACCTGGGTTGGGTTCGGGAGGGTTCATAGCAGTGTTGTGAGTCTTGGGTGTGGGAGGGCTCCTCTTGCTCCAGGGCTGTTTGGAAATCTCGAGCCCTCCTGGCTGGGCTGTGCCATGGGGCCTGGGGGCTTTGCAAGCCAGTTCCTACAGTCAGGGTCAGAGCTGCCTTTGTGCTTCAGATGGGGGGGGGACTCCTGCAGGTATATTCAGGATGTGTGCAGGTAGCCTCCTTCCTACTAATCTAGCCAGGTCTGAACCTTGTCCACCATGTCCTGTGGGGATGGGAGGGTTCCCAGTGGTGGGGTCAGGCTTGCCTGTCTCAGGGTGCATGTTGCCAGCGAGAGATCTCCCAGCTGGGCTCAGTGGTGAGGTTCGGGGCTTTGCACAGTGAAGATGCTCTGGTCACGTGTCTGGGGGGTGCTGGGGCAGCCCAAGCTCGGGGGGGGTAGAGAATGGGAAGGGTTTCGAGCGGCAATGGCAGGGCTCCCAGTGCTGTTTGTTGGACACTGGTAGGTTGGCCAGTCCCTGTTGCCTGGAAATGGGGGGGACCCTGGGCC